CTACATGACATACTTCTAGATAAAGATATCAAAAAAGTAATTAAAAGAGAAATTAGAAAGTGTTTCAAATGAGTGAAAAACAGCACATCAACGTTTGTGGGATTCATTAAACACAATATTACAGGTGTATTTATATTGCTAAATGCTTGTAACAGAAAAAAGAAAAATTCTATATCAATGGCATCAGATTCCACATTAAGAAACTAGAAGAAAGGCTGGGTGCCCGTGGCTCAAGTGGCTAAGGCGCCAGCCACATACACCTAAGGTGGTGGGTTCAAATCCAGCCCAGGCCCGCCAAACAACAATGAGGGCTGCAACCAAAAAAGTAGCCGGGCGTTATGGCAGGCGCCTGTGTTCCCAGCTACTTGGGAGGCAGAGGCAGGAGACTCTCTTGAGCCCAGGAGTTAGAGATTGCTGTGAGTGATGCCATGGCACTCTACCCAGGGAGACAGCTTGAGGCTCCGTCTCAAAAAAAAAAAAAGTAAAAGAAAAAAAAAAAGAAACTGGAAAAAAAAGGAATCATTTAATTCAAAGTAAGAAAAAAAAAAGGAAATAAACATTACAATGAAAATCAGTAAAATAGAAAACAGAAAAACATAACAAAAGTTGATAAGACCCAAAGGTGCTTCTTGTATTGTGGCCTATCTTTTTCTTTATGTTTAGCAATATTTGTTTTTTAAATCTGGGTGTTCTTATATTGGCTCATATTCATTTATAATTATTATATCCTCTTGCTGAATGATCTCTTTATCATTATATAATGACCTTCTTTGTCTCTGTTTACTGCTTTTTATTTGAAGTCTGTTTTATCTGATATAGCTACTCTTGTTTGCTTTTGATTTCCATTTGTATGGAATATACTTTTCTACTACTTTCAAGTGAGGTTCTTGGAAACAACATGTATTTGGATCTTGTTTTTTCTTTTTAATCCATTTAACTGATCTATATCTTTAAATGCAGATTTTAAATGCAGTGTTTATCTTATTTATACTCAAGATAAATACAGTATGTGAGGTTTTATTTCTGTCACATTGTTTATTGTTTTCTAGTTGTTTTGTAAATTATTTCCTTTTCTTTGTCTGACTTTATAGTTTAGTGGGATTCTGTAGTGTTGTCTTTTGATTCCTGTCTCTTTCACCTTTGTGTAATTGTTTTATAAGACCTACGATTTTTATACTTTCATGTTTTTGTGATGGTGATCTTTTGTTTCCTGGTTTCTGACTTCTTTGAGCATTTCTTGTAAGGCGAATCTAGTGGTGAGAAATTTCCACAGCTTGTCTGGGAAAGAGTACATCTTCATTTATAAAGCTCTACCTTTACTGCATATAAAATTCTTGGATGAAAGTATTTTACTTTTGGTGCTTTAATAATTCAATCTTATTCTCTTCTGGCCTGTTAGATTTCTGCTAAAAATTGCACCGTTACTACGATGAGGCTTCCTTAATAGGCACTAGACACTTTTCTCTTGATGATTTTAAAATTCTACTCTTCATTTTGACTTTAGATGTCTGATGATGATTTTTGGCAGTGCCTGATCCTGGAGATTGCTGGTCCTTCTGTATCTGAGTGTTTAAATCTCTTACTAGATGTGGGTAGTTTTCATCATTTATTTCCTTAAATACATTTTCTAATTTTTTGATCTTTCTTCCCCCTTAGGAATACTTATAATTCATAACTTCAGTCACTTTATGTAGTCCTAAACATCTCAATACTTTTGTTCATTCTTTTTATTTTATTTATTTATTTATTTTTGAGACAAAGCCTCAAGCTGTTGCCCTGGGTAGAGTGCCATGGCATCACAGCTCACAGCAACCTCCAACTCCCGGGCTCAAGCGATTCTCCTGCCGTGGCCTCCCAAGTAGCTGGGACTACAGGTCCCCACCACAATGCCTGGCTATTTTTTGGTTGCAGCCATCATTGTTGTTCAGTGGGCTGGGCTGGATTCGAATCCACCAGCTCAGGTGTATGTGATTGGTGTCTTAGCCACTTGAGGCACAGATGCCAAGCGTGTTCATTCTTTTAAAATGTTTTTTGTTTATTTTGTCTGACTGAATCATTTCAAAGGACTCATCTTAAATTCCTGAAATTCTTTTTTCTGCTTGATCTAATCCATTGCCAAAGTATTCTCATGCATTTTGCAATTCCTTCAATGAATGTTTCAGTACCAGAATTTCTGTTTAGTTTTTAAAAATATATATGAATGATGAATTTCTCATTCATATTCTGGATTCATTTCCTGATGCTTTTTGTATTGGTTTTCAGATTTCTCTTCTATTTCATTGAGCTTTTAAAAAATCAACATTTTTGATTCTTTATGCGATATTTCAAGGATTTCTTTTTTACTAGTATCTATTGCTGGAGAATTATTGTGTTCTTCTGAGTATTTCACAGTACCTTGCTTTTTAATGCTTCTTGTATCTTTACATTGATTTTTGTGCATTGAGAATACCAGTCAGTTTCTTCTCATGTTTGAATTTACTTTCCCTGTAGGGGGACATTTTTTTCTTGAAGATATGACTATGATGTTTGGGTAGGTCTATTTTGCTTTACTTTGGGGTGGCAAAGATTCTGTATGATTTCCTTGGCTGTATATGTGAATTTCTCTGTATGTTAGGATGAAGTTATTGGTGGTGGGTATGGTGAAGGTGTGCTAGGGTTTAGAGTGCCTGATAGGTTTTGTTTCAGATTTCAGTGGTACTGATAGTGGGTTAAGCATGTCTAGCCTTCTGACTGGTATAATATATGCTGGCATCTGTGTCATCAGATTGAGGCAGGTCAACTCTTGGGCCTCTAGGTGGCTTTGTCAAATGTCAGTTCTAGTAGCAGCATACCAAGTGGGTGAGCGAGCTCATGACCTCCTGCTAGGAGAGGTGGTGGGGGTGATGGGGTTAGCAGTGGTTGTAAGAAGTTCTTGCGTTCATGAGTACTGTGCTCTTGTGTTAGGAATTATTGCAATGTGCTGTGTGGGCTGCCTTCAGGACAGCAGGTGGAGCTTGCACGTAAGAGCCCACTATGCTAGTAGCAGTAGGATTTATGTCCAGTCTGTTTTTTCCCAGAGAAGTACTCAGGTGGCCCAGGAGGTGGATTGGGTTGTGAAACCCATGGAGCCTGGATTCTATGCTCTGTCTCAGGGGTAGGGTTAATCTGGGCACAGGTGGGCAAAGCACGCTTACACTCAGCTCATACCAGTGTTTATGGGAAAAGTAGGATAGTCCTCAGGCCCTTGGCTAAATGCCTGGGTGAGGAGTGACTGAAGCGGCATTGACATCTTGGCATGGGGAGAGAGGAGTTGTCCTAGCAGTCACAGCTTTGGGAAGCAGGAGTACCTGGGAAGGAGGAGGCAGTCAGCCTTCAAGGCAGGATTGACCAAAAAATGAGAAGTGGGCCCATCTTCGTCATTCAAATCAATGTCCTTTACCCTCTTTTGCTTCTAGCAGATGACTCTCAGAGGAAACACAGCAGAAATTGCAGTCCTGCAAGGCTTGGTTTCCTTTTCCTGACTGGCAGCAGATCAAACTAATCAGTCAGACAGGAAGACAGCATTTAGTCCATACACAGCCACAGCCATGGACGATCCCGCCTGCCTTAACACCAAACCTGCACAGCAATTGTTCTGTTCAGCTCTTAGGGTGGTGGCCAGGTCCTAGCACCATCAACTGGAGTCCACACTATGTTAGTTTCTCAGTCCTGGTTATGAGATCTCCTCCCCTACCCAAGCCTCTGTTCCCCACACTCCAGTCCAAGTTTCTCTAACATCACAGATTGGTGCTGTTCCCAGATCTGAGGACTAGGCACTGCTTGTTAAGATCTAAGGTCAGAGATATCATCTTACTATGGTCGGGTAGGTTGGGGGCATGTGTGGGACACTTTGGGAGCAGATCCTTCTCATAGTCCCCCAGCTGCTCCCTAACTTAGATTGAGGGATTGGGAAAATAAAGTGGTCTCCCATGGCCTGGATAGAGTGATTCTCCAGTGGGAAAGTGAACCACAGAAAGGCATTCATTTGCCCTCTCCTATACCAGAAATTCACTTCACATTTTTTATTGATCCTTCCTTAAAGACTTCCTGTTTGCCACCTCCTTCCCAGAATTTAGAGTTTCCTTTTATTTTTCTGTTGAACACCTGTGTTGCGTGCAGTATTTTGATTTCTCTGAGTGGATGAGGAATGCTTCTAATCAGTCTTCCTGGGAAAAACCCCTATGTTATTTCTATAATATTAAAATACTATGCAATTCTAAGTAAAGGGGTATAATGATAAATTGTGACCTCTTTTATAATGGAAGAATACTAGGCATAAAGGAGAACCAGGACCCTCTTTACAATATCCTATCGTTTTCATTCTAATGGTAGGTAGTGTCAGATAGCAGTCGTTGGACTATTTCACTGGTTCTGGGACCAGTTCACAGGGTATCTTTGGGCCCATCCTAGTCATTAAAATCAATGTCCTTTATCCTATTTGCTTCTAGCAGATGACTCAGAGGACACACCCCAGAAACTGCAGCTCTCTGTGTCCCACATCACTGGGAATGAGGAGAGGAAGTAGCTACCTCCACTGACACACGCCTGAAACACCAGGAGCAAATGTTGCCTGGGAGGCTTGTGGTGCTGAGCAGGGGTTCAGGGGCCCAAGGGCCTTCAGAATAACCGGGCTCTCTTTGGTTGTGACTCAGAAGTTCCTTCTCTAATGTCACAGTGATACCTGTGTTTCTTCTCTCACTGCAGAGTTTTTGTGAGGTTTGGTGTGGTAGCCACTAGGCACAGGTAGCTATTTAACTTTAACTTCAAATAAACCTAAATAAAATTCAATTAAAAATTCAGTGCTGCAGTCCCACTTGTGTTACGGCAAGTGCTCAATAGCCACGCGTGGCTGCTGGTCTCCATATTGGGCAACACCACTGAATGAAAGGAGGGCAGGTCCTGCACAAGGCTGTTTGTCCAGCTCCTCCCCTCACTTCCTCTCTGCTCCTCCTTCTCAGCATCCTGCTGCATTTCCAGCAAAATCAGAGAAGGGTGCAGGACCCAGATCTTTCACGTAAGGCAATAGGGGTATGTGTGTGTGTGTGGGGGGTGATTTAGACGGAAGGGGCCTCTCCCCTGGGTGTGTACCCTAAACCTGGCAAACTTGCTCTATAGATTTCTTGCTGTTTCCTATTTCCTATATTTGTTGATTTTATGCCGAAATCTGTTTTGAAAATGAAGATTAGAAATGTAAGCTTCTTCCAGGGGTTGCTGCCCAGAGGATACTTGTTTTAAGAATAAAGCATTCATTTCACTGGTTATAAAATGTACAAGCAAATTGATTCTCTCAGTACTAGAGTTGAGTGTGCAACTGGGGACCTGGTGGGGAGAAGAATATTGGACTGTGTAGGGGTCTCAGCTCAGTATGCAGCTTGTACAGACCAAAGCCTGCCTGTAGGTCAGGACTGGAGGGTTTGAGGTCTGAGATTTTATCACTAAGAAAACCGTCTCCTAAACAACAGTACTTTCTTGGGTTACTGGAACTTGAATTCCTCTGCGGGGGTAGGAGGAAGGAGATGCCACCCATGTGACTATCTGCAGTTCAGAAGATTCCGGGGACTGTTGGATGTTTGTTCTTTAGGCAGAGGGAGCAGAACTCAGCCCCCCAAGGTCAGCACCTACCGAATCGCAGTCTCCTGGTTTTACATCTGAGTTAGCATCAGCAGAGCAGCATTAAAGAGCCCAGGTGCTGGAGCAGGACCCTAACAACACCCAGAGCCCTCTGTTTTCTTGTTGCTGCTATCCTATGTCCTTTCCTGACACTAATCACCAAAGCGGATATTTTTAATTTCTAAGACTTCTCTTCTCTGTTTATGAGAAGTTGTTCACTACTCTCTAGAGAATAATGAAATAACTGTTCTTTCTGAAGAAGTGTCTGGGTTTTGACAATGTTTCATATTTGTATTTGATGGCTTCCTGTCTAGTGACTCTGTCATTAACAACGACCGTTTTCTGCCTGTCTTTATCAAAGTCTGCTCCAATAGGAATTCCTCAAATGTCTCTCCCCATTCGAAAACGTTTGTAGGTAGCAGTGAAAGAAAACGTTAACAACTTTAATGCCGTGTTTCTATAAGACTAAGTATTAATATACAGGGACAGGATTGTCATTTTCACAGATTACATGTGGGCTGGACATAGTGATGAAGCAGAGAAAGACAAGTGGGGAAGTTATCAATTCATTTATCTGACAAATACTTATTGAGAACTACTTATTGTCCAGTATTGTGCTTTTTCCCAGGCAATACAGGGAAATATTCGACACATGTGGTCCTCCCCTCAAATGTGTGCAGAATAACTGAAGACGGTAAAAGTCGGGCACATCACTCCCTGTTGAGGTCAGTACAAAGTGATCCAACTTTGTACTGAAAGCAAGTATTGGTGGGCCACACCAAAGAGGGGTTGGTTGTATTGGTGGTGTTGGGGGGGAGGCCGCAGGAGACGTCTCTGGAAAGCTGAGGCCTGCAGGCCAAGTAGGAGTGAGCTGGGCACTGAACTGGAGATGGAGATCTTCCCAATAGGGAAGAGTCTATGAAGGTCTCAAAAGTGGAAGGGTCCTAGTGGATTCCGAGGACAAAGTGGCTCCAAGCTTCTGAGGGAGGAGGCAGTTGATCACATAGGGTCTTATGAACCATTTCCAGGATTTACACTACTTTCAAAAACAAGTAATAAGCCACGAGGGGATTTAAATAAGAAAAAAAAAATCAAATTGCTGTTAAACTAACATCTGACTGCAGAGTAGAGGAGGGATTGAAGGGGATGTCGGTTAGGGGCCTGTTGCATTGCACACAAATGACAGTGGACGGTGTTAGCACAAAGTTGGAGAGAAATAGGTCACTCTGAGTTTTTTTTTTGAGACAGAGCCTCAAGCTATCCCTCTGGGTAGAGTGCCATGGCATCACAGCTCACAGCAACCTCCAACTCCTGGGCTCAAGCGAATCTCCTGCCTCAGCCTCCCAAGTAGCTGGGACTACAGGTGCCCGCCACAATGCCTGGCCATTTTTTTTTGGTTGCAGCCATCATTGTTGTTTGGCGGGCCCAGGCTGGGTATTCGAACCCTCCACCTTGGGTGTATGTGGCTGGCACCTTAGCTGATTGAGCCACAGGCGCCGAGCCACTCTCTGAGTTTTTTGAAAGTATAATTAGTAGGATGTGGTGATGGGCTGACAGGGGAGTGAGGACAAGAGAGTTGAGGGTGACCCGAGGGTTCTGCAGGAGCCACAGACTGAGTGGAATGAGGAGGCAGAGCAGGCGGGGGAGGGTCCAGGGCTCAGCTGTGGGCAGGTTCTGGGTGAGTGCCTGGGACCTTGCCTGATGGAGGTGAGTGGGATATAAAAGTGTGGAGCATGAGGAGGGTGCAGGCTACAGATTACATGTGAAAGGCATCAGTGCAATGAATCACTGGCTGGAGAGGGATGAAGGGGACGGAACCCGTGCTGCAGAGGCACTAGAAACACTTATGGTTCTGTAAGAAAAATGACCAATCTGAAAACGAGACTGAAAATGGATAGTTGAAGAGAATTTTGGGAAGTGGGAGAAAGCAAAGTAAAGCAGTCAGGTATCTAGGCAGTGGCCATTGTCCTAAACTGACATGATTAAGTTTCTTGGTCTACAGGACTTCAACCCATGATGGCAGCCCCATACCATGGTGTGAGTTCCAGCCGTGGCCACCCAAAGACAAGCTATGGTGAGAGAATGCCTGGGGCTCCCCGCTGGGCTGGGCTGCAGGGAGAACAGAGCCCGGGAGTCCTCCTCCCATACCAGCTGTCTCAATCTAAGCAAGAGAAAACCTTTTGCAACCTCCTTTCTCGTTTTCTCTTCATTTACCCTACCCTTTCATTTCTTTGGACCTTTTACATTATCTCCTCATGATGTGGCCACAGCAGTTAAATTGTGAAGAGAGATTCAAATATCCTCTGCTCCATCCAGAGCTAGGCAGCGTTTCCCCTCCTATTTCCTACAAGATGGACATACAAGAACAGTTGGTTGGAGCCTCCCTGATGGCATTTCTGCCCCAGTCCTCGGCCGGAGGGAGGATTCAGAAGGAGGGATGAGGGAGTAATTGATCCCTCATCCACATCCCCAATTTTGTGGCCCCTGCTGATCTCAGTACATCCAACAAATCCAACAGGCTGACTTGCCTGGTGTATGAATCACAGGGCCTTTCCTTCCCTGCCTTAGCCATGGAAATGGATCTCAACCGCTCCCCGCCCCCCCATGGCTGACAATATCCTCAGGATGTCCTTAGGATGGACTCTCCCACTGTGATGCTATCTGCACAAAAATGTAAAGACATATTTTTTTCCTTTGACAATCTCAGCCATACAAATTTGGGGATTATTCTTCTTCTTTATTTATTTATTTATTTTTTTTGCAGTTTTTGGCTGGGGCCAGGTTTGAACTACCACCTGCGGTATATGGGGCCGGAGCCTAATCCTTTGAGCCACAGCCTGGGAATATACTTCTTCTTCTTCTTCTTTTTTTTTTTTTTTT